TTTATAATTTATTCTGTTGCTGAACCACTTCTATTGTTAATAGTTTTTATTTCTTGTAACTTAAATCCATGGTTCCACCTTTTGAACTATAGAGGAAGAAAAAACAGGCATTGATCTTTTGACAATAACCTTCAAGTATTTGAAGAGCGCCGTAGTGTCACCCTCAATTGTACCTTCTGAAGATTATATATAACTAGCTACTTAAATAATTCTTCATAGGACTTCATTTCTAGTCTCATGGTGTCTTTGAATTCTTTGTCTTTCTTTGAAACTTTTCGAATTACACTAAATCACTGAAGTGGGGTAGCCAGAATATGATGTACTTTACTTTTACTGTACTTTAATCATAATAGATTATAATAAAATGATTATGGAGCCACTGCTAGTTCATATTCATTTTATTGCACTTGAGTCTATTCAATTTCAGTCTGTTACCTTTGGCAGTTTTCTCTAAGCAGTTCCTTTCTCCAACAGATATTCTCAGATTTTATTTCTGTGTTCTATCTAAGGTATTAGCTAGTGCAGGAATTTTGTATCATCTGCAAATTTTGTATCTGCAAATTTGATAAGCATTCTATCCACCTTATCACCAAAATAATTAGTGAATACTGAAGTTTATGGCATCTCATTTCTCTGATGCAGAACCAGTTATCAGCTTTCTCTGACCATAATTTATAAGCCAGTTAAGCATCAAATTAATTCTTGTGTTATGCATAGCACGGCATGTGATCAAATGCTTTGCTGAAGTAAAGGTATATAATATTTACAGCACAATCTATTACGGGTAAAAAAGTAAGATTCTGACGTCTGGAAATTAACATACTATTTTTAAAAATGATCGCTAATTTATGTTTTTAATTAAGTGCCTTCACAGAAGTCAGTGTCACTGGTTTGTGGGTTGGTTAAATCCTTCTTTTACTCTTTATGGAGATAAGGACATTTATGCAGTTCCAGTCATCTGACATTTTATTTGTCCAAAATTTATCAGCAATAATAAATGAGATTCTATTCTTCTTCCAGTATCTAGGATATAATTTTTCAGACCCTGCAGATTTAAATGGTCACAGTTTCCTGGCAGAATGAAAATTTACTTTGCTATTATTGAAGACTGAAGCAAAATAAGATTAAAAAGGCTCTATCTTTTATTATTGTTACTATATGTGCTAATATTTTGCCTTTCTTTGTTGAGCAAAGATACCTTTTCTTCTATTTTGAACCTTTCCTCCAGCCCCCCCCCCCCCCAAAAAAACCCTCCAACATTTTTGGTTCTTAACATCAATTGCTAACCTTATTTCATCCTAAGCTTTTGTTTGCTACCAGTATCTGTACAGATTTAGGCTATATATCCGTGATAGTTTCTTCTATTTTACAATATATTTACAGTTTTTGTTATTTTCAATATGGACTAAATTTGCCATGCTCGTTTCTTTTGTTTAATTCCATTTTTTTCTCTGTGGACTGCTTCAGATACATCATGTAAGTTGCATTGTATACATATATTCTTCTTTTGAGTGTTTCTAGTAGGTTTATATCCTAATTTGTTACAATAGTTGTCAGTATAATGAAAGATTAGCTAAGTAGTAGAAAGATTTGACGCTATCCATAATAGAGGAGTGATTGCTGAAGATAATAGAACTTGCAGAGGTAGCTAAATTGACTTCCTTGATTGAAAAAAGACAATTTCTAAATTTATGGTTGATTGGAAAGCCCTTCTAGACTTTTTATATGAAACAGAAAAACATGCACTTACGATTTGTGAGTTTGATTATCAAAAAAAAATTAGGTAATAGAAAAAAGTGAGCTTTTTGTAATTCTAGAGTAAGAGATAGCTTTGTAATCATGCTTCCACTTTGCTATAGGAAAAAATAGGAATTTCTGTCTTTTTTTCTGCACTTCTGTATTTTTTCTTTTTCTTAAATTCTGCATTAGTTTGTGTTGGTTTTTATTTTTCTTTAAAATGTTTTGTGTGTGTGTGTGTGTGCATTTGCCGTGTATGCAAATTTCATTCAATTTGTACAGCTTCCCATGTCAAACCAGTGACTCTAGGCTGTGAACAATCATAAAAACAAAAGTTAAAATAATACCCCAAAAAAAGAATTTAGATACAAGTAACCGCCAAGAGATAGTACCATCTGTTGATATCAGTATAACAGGAAATTATATCAACATAATAGGAAAAACTTGGGACACCAGGCCTGGGCACATAGCCAGGTCTTTAAGAGTTTCCAAAAGGACAGCAGGGTCAAGGCCATCCTAATTTCTGTAGGGAGAATGTTCCAGAGGGCAGGGGCTAGAGTGTAGAAGACATACCTTCTGTTCTCTGCCAGCCACCATTCCTTGGCTGAGGGGGCCTAATTTGCAGACTGGATCAGATGGGTAAAAACAACTAGGAAAAGACAACCACTCAGAAAACCCAGTCCCAAGCCATGAAGGGTTTTAAAAGTGCCAACCAGCATCTTGATTTGAACTTGGAAACACTGGAAACCAATGCAGCCTGAAGCAGTGGCGTTACATGTGCAGAATAGCCAGCGTTATTTACAACCCCAGCTGAAGCCTCCAACTACTCCTCAAGGGCAGTCCAAATGTAGAGAGTGTTGCAGTAGTCCAAATGGGATTAGTGAATAGAACCTTCCAATTCAGGAATAGGTGGAACTGACACACAATTTGAAGATGTGCCAAGGCTGTCTTAGCCACAGCTACCACTCCTTTTCCAATAGGAGCTGAGCCCAAGAGGATCCCCAGATCATGCATCAGGTCCATCTGAGACAATGCCATCCCATCCAGGATCAGGGTTGGAAAAACTTGGTATTGGAATGTCCAAATATCCTAATGGGTTGAGCCTAAACCCATTGCACCCCATCTAGCCCCTCGAAATGGGAGACCAACCATGGATTTTTTTCCACCAAAGAAGATTCCAGTCTTCTTTGGTGGAAAACTGATTGAAAATAGGCAGCTCTGGTTTCATAACACCTTTTCTTTAAATGTAGAGGTTTTCTCCGTAGTATTACAAGACTATTTCCCAAAAGGCAAAGCTCTCTGTAGGAGGATGATGGGGATCATCCTGTTATACAGGATGCTTTTGTTCTGTGTGATCATCTCAGCTGACTCCATTATAGAGAAAATTACCGCCCAGATGCCAAGAATAGTTGCCTTTGCTCTTAGAAGATGTAGTGGAGACTTGATTGTGTGCTTTACCTCTGTTCTGGCAAATTAGAAATGTTAGACATCCCATGTTCCTTAGGTCATCCTTCCAGACAGATTTCCTCACCAGATTCCTCAATGCCTTCAACAATGGCAGAGTTTCTAATGTACTTGAAAAAAATCTTAATTTTTTCCAGGAAGCTATTTAAAGATATATCTACCTTGAAAGTAGCCCACGTTGAACTGTATAACATACTCAAACGTCAGGAGTTGACCATAGGAAAAGTTTTATGACATTTGTATTATATTATGAAATGATTTATGATATTGTTATATCATAAAACATTTTATAACATTTGCTAAATTTCAATCCCATGGCAATCATGGGTCCTGGATTTCAGACATGTTCTGTAAACTTAGCATATCTGAGCTATCGTGCTTGAAAACATTTTGTCCTATAATGCACCATTTTACTATTTAAACAGAGTTTAAATAGTGTATAGCTTGCTGACTTAGACATTGCCATGTTTTTTTCTAGTAAGAGTTTACCTGGAGAACCAAATCAAATAATCAGTAATCTGTCAACCATGATTTTAAATGGGCTTAGAGAACATTGTTTTAAATATAAAGGAGTTAAGAACTAGCACAAAAGCAAGTACCTTTGTGTTTGGAAAACTGTTGAAAAGTAATTATTTTTTGAAGCTTCTGTTATTTCATGTACCACTTACTAATATTCTCTCCCCCCCCCTCCATTCTCCGTCTCTCGCTCTCTGTGTGTGTCTCTCTCTCAAGATTACCATTTCTTTCTGTCTAGAAATGAGAAAGAATAGCATTCCTCATTTTAAAATATATGATCGTTTATAAATGTGTGTGCTTATATCATGCTAGTCCAAAAAACTGTGATTATCCAAAGCATCCAGGCATCCTGAAATTATTCATATAGATTCCCCATAAAGCAGATAAAAATGGGTAAAGCATGGAAATATAAAGAGGCACTGAATGGACACCATCACAAAGACATTCCATGTATTATTGATTTAGCATTGTGTCAAGCAACACTGAAGCCCCTAGAAAAATCTGATGCATTTCTTTCAAAGAAGATAGTTACCTTCTCTTCTGCCCAAACTAATGTGTCAGTTTATTCATGGATAATCTTGAATGTTTCCTGATGCTTAGGAAAAAAGCTCACTCTTGTTGCAAGGGAAATGCTGTGTTATGATACGATAGTCTGGTTGATGTCAACCTAGAGATCCTATTATCAGAGATAGATAATGTAACAAAGGGCTTTATAGATATGATTGCTGCAGGAAGGTTGTTCACAAATAGTACTAATATAAGATAAAGCCCTCAGAGGTTTATAGATGTATCAGTCAGCTTTAGAACTAGAATCTTAAGTTCATGGAACATAATTTTCAAGAGTATTTAAATAACTCCCTCCCCTCTTTCTCTTGAAATTGGCTGGAATCCTATACTACAAATGAAAGAGTCATCCCTTGTTGCTTCAGTTAGCACTTTAGGGAACGAGATATTATGTTGAGACGATGAGTGGAGAGAGGATGGATTTTAAGAGACTTGAAGAATAGGAGCAAAAACACAGTAAGTGTTACCCTATTATTTAAATAGAGCTGGGTTTCTTTTCCCACTTATTGTAGTATTTTTAAAGTGACAGTTTTAAAAAGGTGTTTTGTTTTTTATTTTTTAACCTTTCAAAGGCTACCATTGGCTTCTAACACTGTCAGTTGCGCTTGACTTCCTGATTTAAATTGGAAGATGAATGAAGTGACAGAGCATCATCTATTTAATCTTAACCACTTAAAATGTTTTTTTTTTTCTTTACTTTTTTTCTACTTTTCCCACAGTCTCATGCCTCAGAGGGAAAGAAGGAAAGGGGATACTTTACAACAAAAGCGCTTATGGTACTTTTATCCCACTGCTTTTTCTTCCTGAATCTGAGCTTGTTTTCTAATAATGTAACCTGAGTTGAGTGGCTGATCTTTATTGTTGAGGTTATATTATTTTCAGAAATTTAGCCTTTCAATCACCCCTTCCCTCCTCTAAGATGTTTTTGGTTTATTTGCTGGCTTAGTTTTAACTGGTTATGATAGTTAAATTGTTCATTTTTAACTGGTGTTTATATATGTATCTTGATGTATCTTATCTCCCATACATTTCTTTTATCATTTCAGCACAACCCTTAACCCACGAAAGAGAAGTGTGCTACGTTGAACAATGAAAATTCAAGAGAATGCAGAGAGAGAAAAGAGACATTGTTTTCAATTAAAGCATTGAAGATTGATTTTTCTTCTTTTAAAAAGTGGTCTATTTTAACTCTTATACAAGAGTGTTAATTTATTGTCACTACAACAATGTTTTTTTACTGCTTTAATAATGGCCGGTAAATTTTAGCCTTTTATCTAATATCTCTTTTATCAAGAGAATCTTTTTTTTTTACAATGCTTAGGGATAAAATGTGATGGCAATCATTTAATCTTCTGTCCAACAACTTATTGGGGGAGTGTATATATTATTTGTTTGGTGTATAAATTTTCATCCAAAAATGGTTCTCTTTTATGATGGAAACGGAGAAATTGGGAAAGTGTACTCTTCTTCCCTTCATCCCCCCAATAATATGATTGCTTTTTGCATACATTAACTATCCTAATTGTATTAGGATTTTTATCACATATTTCTAAATTACTATCCACCAAAGAGTGCTTTATTTTCATACATTTAGTTCTTAGTCTTGCAAATTATACCACTGCCTAAAGTGTTACTTACTACTTTTAATTAACAGAAACAGCTGGGAAGAATTGTAACAAATTGTGTGCTGTTGTAATATCACAGTCTTAATTGTTAAGTTATTAGTGAATTAAAACCTGTTGTATCTACTTCAGATTATAATTGGATAAAATACACTAGCAAAATGTGGGTTTCAAATGTTCTCTATGTACTGCTTACAAATTGACTCTCCTTACCATGAGATCCTGTTCTCAGGCACCATTCTTTCCTAACATTAAATATGGCATAGTACTGATTCTACTAATAGTCAGATATTTATTTTAGCTCTGTCTGCAGAAATAGGTGGTTGAATTTTCCTCTGTATGCAAAATTAGTGGCATATCAATGTTGTGATTCCAATGACATATCAATAGGTTGGATAGGAAAGGAGTTTCATTTGCCATTTCTTCATGTCATTAAAATTCAAAGTTTATAATTACAGATAGTCTCGACTTATGACCACAATTGAGCCCAAAATTTCTGTTGCTAAGTGAGACTTTTGTTAAGTGAGTTTTGCCCCATTTTACGATCTTTCTTGCCACGGTTGTTAAGTGAATCTGGCTTCCCCATTGACTTTGCTTGTCAGAAAGTCGCAAAAGGTAATCATAGAACTTGGGACACAGCAACCATCATAAACAAGAGCCAGTTGCCAACTGGCCAAATTTTAATCAGGTGACCATGGGGACACTGCAACCATCATAAGTCACTTTTTACAAACTGCCATTGTAAGTTTGAATAGTCATTAAACAAATGGTTGTAAATTGAAGACTACCTGTATTCACCTTTCAGTGCAGGAGAGGCAACAGATCTCTACCGAAATCTAAAGATAGACAGTGGACTATAATTATTAACATAGTTAGTCTTCAAAAGCTAAACAGGAACTGTTATAATTATTCTCGTGTCCCATTTGGACTTCAAAATCCTTGCAAGGAAACTTTAGTTATGGATAATGCAGGTCATCCTGATGTTGGGTTGTGACTCCTGTTAGCCCTAGCCAACATGACTGAAGGTAAGATTTGCTGTCCAATATCTGTAAGGATAAGGGTTGCCCATCCCTGGTACAGAGGCTTTGCTGTAGCATACTCTATATTTCTGTAGTAAACAATATGTAAAAAAAAATAAAAAAAATAGAAAATTCTTGCTGGACCTGAAGCCCAAAATATCTGTAGCTAATCATACCAGTAAGAATGTTGGGATTCTGTCTTGATTCTGCCTTGTAGGAGTATTGTTAAATTTTAGGAATGTGGCTTTGCTTAAAAAAGTCACATAGCAGTAGTATGAAGAGACCTGGGCCATGTTTTAGGGTTGATTAGTCATTTTGATATTCACAGCTACTATAATAGATTTATAATATTAAGCCTCTTATTGAATTCAAGCAGCTACAGAAGACCCTCTTCTTGATGATTTGTTTCCAGTCTGGCTCTTTAGAAATTTTATTGATGCATTCATTTCCATTGTAGAAGATTCTTAGTCTATTATGCTGGTGATTGTCCTTTTCTATTTCTGCAGTGTTATAAACGTCCAAATGTGTCCAAAATATGATGATTTGAGTATAGTCACTTCTGCTTCAATTGAAATTTCTGGATTTATTTTCTCTGTGATCCATTTATTTGTTTTCTTGGCTACTTATGATATTCTCAAGGAATCTTCCAGCACCAAAATTCCCAAGTATCAGTACCCTTTTTGTCCTGTTTCTTCAAAGTCCAATGTCTGCTTCCATAGAGTGTCACAGCCTACATGATCCGATCTTTGTTAGTGTAGACACATATTGGCATCTGTTTTTCATAAGGACCTCATTGCTACTCTACCAAGTACTGATCTGTGGTGTATTTCTAGACCAGGGGTTCTCAACCTTGGCAACTTTTAAGACTTGTGGACTTCAACTCCCAGAATTCTGGGAGTTGAAGTCCACAAATCTTAAAGTTGCCAAGGTTGGGAACCCCTGTTCTAGACAGTTTGTTCCCTTATTATTGTCTATCCTAAAAAGCAAAAGCTATTCACCATTTCATTGCCTATATTCATTGTCAATTTTAAGGCTGTTTATTCCATCTGTTGTCATTAGTTTAGTCTTCTTTAGTCTTAGTCCCATTTTTTTCACTGTGTTCATTAAGTTTCATTACTAGACTTCTCAAATCATTTGCATTTTCAGCAGAGGGCAAGTTGATGTTTCTTTTTCCAGTTTTAAAATCATGCTCATCTTTTTTCAGTTCAATCTCCTTTATTCAACTTATAGGTTGAATAAATGAGAAAACAGCATACAGTTTTGTTTGACTTTGATACCAACCTGGATCCAGTTTCATCATGTTTGCTTCCTATCCCATGTATAGTCTTCACACAAGAACACTGAGGCATTCTGGATTCCCTATTTTCTAAGGCCATTCTATATCTGATAATGTTTGATACAATTGAAGAACTTTTTTATAATCAATGAAATGTATATTAATATTTTTATATTCTTTGATTTTCTGAATTACCTTGAAGATACCAACAATATCCTTTGGTCTTTAGATTTTTGCTAAAAATCTACTTGAACATCTGTTGTTTCTCTTTCCACATAGGGCTGTGTTTTGTGCTGGAAGAGCATAGCAATACTGTATGAAAGGTTTGTATACTCGGTTAAGTCTCCTTTAGTGTTAGTATCTGCTCCCCAATATGTCATTCTCCAAATCTGCTGGCATAATTTGGATAGAATCTTGATTTATTCTTCTATTGCTTACCTTCTATAAATATTCCATCAGTTCTGGTAGCCTTCCAACTTAATAATGACTGGAGTGCTGATCTAATTTCATCTGATTTTTGTAAATAAGGAATGTGTCTAAAGTATCATGGATATTAACATCTTTATTGTACAGAATTTCAGTATACTTCTTCCAGCTTTCTTTGATCCTTTTTGTATCAGTTACTATCCATTGGCATCATTTATGTCCATTGGCATCTTTTAGCATACCAGTTTGGGGTTAGATTTTTCTTTTGAGTTAAGAGATCTTTTGGAAGACTTTTCCTTGCTTTTTCTTGTCTCTGTCCATTTCTGTTACATATATTGTTATACTATTGCTTGTCTTTTCTAACATCTGTCCAAAATGTGTTAAGTTCTTCCTGAGATCTTTATCTTTGGCTTTTTCTCTTGGCAGTTTCTGCTATTTGTTCTGACATTCACTATAGTTTCTTCTATTTCATGATTTTTGACAGTCTCTTTTCGCATTCATCCTTAACAACAACAACCTCATCCTCTGGTCACTATCAATGAGGTTCAGAACTTCAAAACAATTCTGATGTTCTTGAAAATGGTGAGTATATGCTCAAAATTGTATTATGGAAATTAGTCAGGTTTTTTCCACTTTAGGTTGACTTGAAACTTGCTTATGAGCTGCTTGTTCCATAGTCATCCTGACCATTATTTTGCTATTATCATTCATCTTTTCTATCATTTTATATCAGTAACTTAGTCAAATTGATTTCTAGGTACTTCATATATTCATGTATACAGGCATTGTTCTGATTGTTGGAAAAATGTGTTAGCGTGAAGATGTTAATTAGAGAGGCACAAATAATATATTTTCCTGATTAATTTCAGTGTTCTGAACTATACAGTCCTACTGTATTTCCTCAATTTCCTGTGGGGAAACTAATTGGCTTTGTTGTTACCTAACTCTCGAGTTTCCAGTTTGGCATTCAGGCAAACTTTAAACCTCATTATGAACTCTTCATCATAATTTTTAATGGGGTGTAATTTTTTATTTGCCTTCATTGCTGATTTTTTAAAAAGAATCCAACACAAATCAATATTGGTCATAACACTTTTTAATAAGCAGAGATAATTCTGTGCATTCTTGTATGAAATTATTTCAATATTTTGTGTTTATTTTTAAAGATTTAGGTTGCTTACACCTCGGCTTCTTCACCATTCAGTTGAATAGTTCACCATTTACTTAACAGCAGTTGCATTATAGACAAGAGTTCATTTATATTTATTGGAATATGAGTTTTAGATTGATTTAATCTTCTGTTCTACTTTATCCACCATGAAATTGAATGCCACATTGTTACAGGTAGTCTTCGACTTAAAACTGTTCCGTTCAGTGACTGTTTAAAATTATGATGGCGTTAAATGGACTACCTTCCGCCTGAAGTTACCCCATTGCAGCATTCCTGCCATCACGTAATTGTGACCTGGGCTTTTGCCAAAGTCTCTGCGATCATGTGATTGCCATTTGCAATCTTTCGTCCCAGCATCCTCAGAAAATCAACAAGGAAGCTGGCAGGGAAGGTTTCAGGTTGCTGCCACGGGACTCACTCTGGTTCCTGAGGGCTGGCTGAAAAAGGTTCATCAGCACCCATTTTGGGGCAGCCCATTTCCACTCTCCAATGGAAATGGAGAGTGGAAGAGCTGTCTGCCAGATTGATTTCGCTCCCAGCGGGATGAAGTCCCTTGGCAAAGCAGTCCTTCTGCTCCCAGAGGCTGGCTGGAAAGGTCCATGCCAAAAACCAAGAAGGATTTAGTCCGGGTTACTTGCAGCATGGAGCTCTTAGAGCCAGGCTGGCTCCCAACACTTCATGCTTCAACATCTTCCTGTGAAAATCCCACTTTACCTAATGCGGGGCAGAATCCCTTTGTGAAACCATTGCTCCCAAAGATGCTGGTTAGAAGAAGTCCTTTCAGAAAGGTAATATTTGCTGGCTTTCTAGCCAGAAGGCCAGCAAATTCAATGTTTCTAAAGGCTGGCTGGAAGAGCCAGCATAGCAGTTGTTGAGCAAGGCAGTCGCATGGGTGCCTTACTCAACAACTGACACGACTTGCGACTGTAATTGGCTGTCTCCATTACAGTTGCACATCAAGGACTATATACTGAAAGACTTGCTCACATACTCTCAGTAATTGATTTTGGTCAGCTTTATAAATTGCAATCTACATTTAACAAAGAATGTTCTAGGATCAAATCTGATACTAGTTTTGTTCGGTCAGATGTATTTCTGTATTGTTCATGCTATTTTAACTAATAATATAGATACTGGCTTTATTCTCAGTAGTATATCCTATCTTAAAATGTTTCCTGTATTTGTAGAATTTTCAAGGTAGAGTGATTTCAAATCAGCTAAATTATTTAATAAAAACCATGTAGATTTTTAATCACACATTACTAAAAATAGCTCCCATCTATGTACTATTATTTTAAATATCGAATTAGCCTCATTGTTCAATATTTGAAATCCCATTTTATTTACCCTGCATCCTAACATTCAAGCATCAACAATCAGAGCACTACATATTTTGTGTGCCTGATAAAGTTTAAATAGACATTTGGTACATTAACTAAGGTGGCTGTCGCTTTCATTAGTACTGATAAACTAATTCTACCACTCATTTCTGTATCATGACAGACAAAAGGATCGCTTACTTATATCTCATTCACTAAGTCTTCCCCTTAATAGTCAATTACTGCTTCTGTTTATGCAACACCCATTCCTAATTTTGTAACCTGATTGTTTCTAGCCATTTGTAGCCAGTATACAAAATATTATTTCCGTTGCCAGAGATTTGTGATTAACTGCTAAGTGCCATTTATCAACTTATTCCTGATAGGATTATGCTTGAACCTTAGATTAAGATTAAAAGGTCCTTGATAGAATATAGTTATTACTTGGGAGTATATGTATATGTTTCTACCTCCCTCGATTTTGGTTACATAAGCGTCAAGCGACTCAGAATGCCCTAATTAGCATGGAGGAAATCTGCTATTTACGTAGATATTTTGGCTCAGAAGCTTTACTAATTAACATCAACAGAAGGTACTTGTTACATGTGCACAAAAGTGCAACATCTGCTATTTTAGACATGAGAAATAAGATTCCTTGACTGTGGAACCACTGTGTTATTAATGCTATGTACACAAATCAACCATGCAAAGCCACTTTTAAACAGTCACAATCATGTTGAGCCCGTCTCCCACAGTGTCATTTTTGGTCGAAAGGCATTGTATAAGTTAAATACATTAAACCACTTCTTAGATTTAGTACTAGGTACTAGAAATGGTACTAGAAGCAGTACTAGTATCAGGCCAGAAAAAATACTCAATATTTAGGTGTCTTAGTAGTCAAACGATACATTTAATTTTTTTAAGCTTGAAAACCAAAGAAGGTTCCCAGTGCTTAAACTATCCTTTGTAATGAATAAGCAAAATAGTCTGAAAGATTAATTTAAATTCTCATGTGGAACTATTATGATTCCATATTGGTTAGCACAATTTATTTTCTAACACTTTAAAGTTACATCCAAATATTCATTGTTGTATTGACAGCTATGCTGTGTAAAAGCTTAAAACTTTCAGAGTTGCTACTTGTAGGTCCCAATTACAAGTTTTAGGGGACTTTTTATGTATTGTCTTTAAAACTTGTACAATTTGTTCAAACTGTGGTATAACCAATACTGCTCAGATCAAATTATTTTGTTAATGTATTTCAGGGTTAACTTGACACTGTGTTTAAATTTTAATTTGATAGTATGTATTTTTTCATCAGTGTAATTGAATTATATAAATCTGGAGTAACTTGTAAGAGAAATGTGTACAAATAAAATCTATTGCTTATGTGAGATTACCCAAATGTGGAAAATACTTGCTGGGGGAGGTGTATTGCATCGGATTCCAAGGAAAGTTGCATCAACTTGTTTATGAGTGCATAGATAATACCTTCCAGCAACTCTTTAAACCAGTGGTTCTCAACCTGTGGGTTGGGATCCCATTTGGGATCGAATGACCATTTCACGGGGGTCTCCAAACAACACAGTCCGCCATTTTTTCCCCCTTTTCCTTAGCTGTGCTATTCCCTTTTATTCTATTGGCTTTTGAAAGCCAATAGAATAGACTCTCTTGAATAGAGTCTAATTCTATTGGCTTTCAAAAGCCAATAGGAATTGTTCAGGCTGTCTCTGCCCTGCTGAGCCCCCCAGAAGTCCCATTCTGCAAAGGGTGCTGCAAGTTGTCTGCAGCGAAGGCGAGCTGTCTGGAAGTTTCCACCCCTTCCTGCTGAGCAACTACTAAAAATGTAAGTCAAAGAGGGCCATGGGGTGGGAGGCCGGCGGGCGCAGGGAGGGTTGCTGGCACGCATGGTGCCCGGCGGGTACCTTACCTACCTTGGGCTGGGCCAGCTGGTGGCCCAGCCGGTGGTCGGCCTGCGCCATCTCTGCTACTTGCCAGCTACGCCTCGGCTGGCTCAGGGGGTGGCACCACGCATGCGCAGCACTCCCGGGCAGGGAAAGTTCTCGACTTACGACCAGTTGGGTAGTCCTCGACTTACAACCGGTTGGGGTCGCGACATTAAAAAGGTTGAGAACCACTGCTTTAAACCAAAAGCTGCTGTTCTTTCCATGAATTATTAGTCAGCAATGTGCAATCCCAAAAAACCGAGGTTGGTGTGGCAGGTGGGAGATATGTATCAGGTTTATGGTTTAAGAAGTTGCCAGTGGTTACTACTTTCCATTCTTTGTTTAACACCTTATATAGCAAGTTGGGGAACTGCACAATAACTACCAAACAGCCTCCCATGCTTGTTTCCTTACAGACCAGATGTTGTGGGGGATATCCTTTTAGCCAAAACTTGATTCCACCCTTTCATTCTTTGTGAGATATTGCTTCTAATATTCTTATTTTGCTGAACAATCAGCTTTGTCTATTAAAAAAGTCAACCATAAGCAACATTAAGAGCTCCAACTCATTAAAAGGATTCCACAATGATAAATGAAGAATGCAACTGAAGTTGGTTTGGCAGGTGGGAGATACATATCAGGTTCATGGTTTCTCTAAAGTGATCTTATTTAATGCTCCTCTATGAAGAATACTATTGCAATCGAGTCTCCCTGACAGGAGGTTTTCCATGTATATGAAAATCAACTAGTTAGAAACAAAGCTGCTCCATAGTTTACCATCCTTTCTTCCAAAACACTATTTATTCCAGGATTTATTTGCAGCTTGCCTCATTCAAATTTTAATTTCCAAATTGTAACTTTAAAATCTAGTTTGCAGCTTTTTATATTAAATGATAAAAAAGATGTAAAAATAGCACCTTCACCTCAACCAGTAAGAGCATTTCCCAACTTCTGAAAATTGTAATTTAAGTATGGCAAACACACTTTACTCAGTGAAACTGGAAAACAAGTAGTCCAAACATGTTGTCCCCAAACCATCTAATATGGTTTACATTTATAATAAAAGGGACAAAAACTCATCCACCTGTACCTGTTTGACACCATCATCCTGAATTTTTATTTGAAATTCCTCATGTACGATACCATAAGCCTTCATACAACTAATCCAAAACCAGAGTTACTGGAACTTGCCTCCAAACCCACTGGGTATGTCTTAACATATAGTAATGCAAAATTCACACACACAAGTCGTTTCTCTCTGTAGACTTGGATGGTTCTCTTCTACAGCAACATAATATTTCCACGGCTATTTTTGGAGGGGTCAAGACAAAGCAGGAAAGTCCTCAGGGTCATCTGGGTTTGGAGCAGCAACATGGATCTAAATGAAAAAGCGAAAAGCAAAGCCGGATCAGTTAGATAAGAGCTGCGTATTTGTTTATTAAGAAGCACATAATTTTGGCTTTGTTCATTAGGTTGCTGCAATAGTCCAAGTACTATTTACTGTTAGGTTTATCCGAAATGTTTTAAACTATACATTTGATTAATATTAAGGTTTTCTTTTTCTAGCTTTATTTATTCAATCCAGACTTTTGAAAATTCAGAGACTCAGAAAGTATGTCCAGTAGATTCAAGTAGTTTCTTAGGAAGGAGTAGGTTCTGAAGAAATATTTTAGAAAACGCAGATTTTTCGGTACATCTACACATCCTGTGATTTTTGTTGCCTTCTTTCTGCCCGCGGACAATGCCATTTTAATTAGGCAGCTGTATTATAGCATTGAAGTAGCCAGAGATTAGAATTAGCACATGGTAATTACCATCACTCCTGGCCTTGACCATGAGTTGTCAACTCTTCGGACACGCCCACGACTTCCTCGTGCTCCTCTGGCTCCTCTTCCAGGACGAGGCAGATTCCCAAAGTTAATGTCCAGTTGAGAAGTGATATCATTTGCTGCTTTTCGGGAAAAGTGAGAATCATCCTCAAAATCTTCCTTCAGCACCTGTAATAAAAATGCATCCATGTTTTTTTAAGAAAGGCATGCTTGAATATCAAAAACAGCATTGAAGAAGGTGCAAAAAAATAATCATTGATCAAAGGTTTCTAAAAGATTACTGAATCCAGTAATTTAATTAAATATTATTTAATCCATGTTTTGTCCCAATGAATCTACAAAACGCCCTACCTATTGAATAACAAACAATTCAAAATCCATGTAACAAGGAAAGTTCATCAAGGGAAAGCCGCAAATAGCAAAATAAAAATATCCCTTGAAGAGAAGGCAACCGTTTAAAATAGAAGCAAGGAGTGAATGTCACAATTTTAATGCCCCTGCTGAAGCAACTCAATCCCAGGGCCTCAACTACCATATTAAAAAAGGCAGAGAAACTAAAACAAGGACTCTTGAGGATGATTTTGAAGTACAGAATATAAACAAGGTGGCCCTTGGATATCTTCTAAGCTTGTTAACCCCAGTGAGAATTATTTTATGAACTATGTTAAGATAGTACAGGTAGTCCTTGACTTATAGCAATTCATTTAATGACGATTTGAAGTTACAAAGGCACTGAAAAAAGTGACCTATGACCGTTTTTAACATGACCACTGCAGCATCCCCATGGTTATGTGATCAAAATTCAGATGCTTGGCAACTGACTCATATTTATGACGGTTGCAGTGTCTGGGGTCATGTGATCCCTTTCTGTGACCTTACAGCAAAGTCAATGGGAAGCCAGATTCACTTAACAACCATGTTAACTAAGTTAACTGCAGTGATTCACTTAACAACTGTGGCAAGAAACATTGTAAAATGGATCAAAATTCATTTAACAAATATTTCGCTTGGTAACAGAAATTTTGGATTCAATTGAGGGCGTAAGTCGACTACCTGTATTAATTCTCCATCAGGTTCAATTAAATGCTTTCTAAGTAATATGGAAAGAACAAGGTACAGCATACCTCTTTAAGATTTGGATTTTTTCCCAAGGAACCAGTTATTTATAAAAATTGGAGAAACCAACATTATTTTGCAAAAGATACTAGACTGAATAATTTTTATGCCCAATGTTTTGTTTTTATATACTTTTTACAATACATACTGAATGAAATAATCTGCATTAATACAATGCTTTTTTTCTAAATTCTTCAATAGAAAAATAGTTTGAAATAGTTGTTCAGACGGAAGTTAATTAACTTAAATCACTAAACTGCTTTATATGTTACTGCTTTTGCACAGCAAGCTGCTTGCTTCTTTTGAACTGAAAGGAGATTTCTTAACCTTTTTTTCTGCAACTTTGACTCAAGTTTTTCTTCAGACAAATTAGTACAAATTATAATTCAGGACCACTGTAATTGCATTTAACAATCTAAACACCTCGTATTCTCCCCAGTACACGAATCACTTTTCTAAGCTACTATATTCAAAACACAGTTTAGAATGAAATATGGTTAAAATTAATACATTTTCAACTAGAAACAGTGCATCAAGAGCCAAATACCTTCTTTAAATATTAAAAATAAAATGCCCCGGAAATAACAGACGACATTACAGAGACATTCTAAATTCTAAAGAGAATAGAACCCCACAGAGGTCCCTCTATGACTCATCTCACAATAGAGTGAAACACAACACCAAAACCAGTCTCAAGAGATGGTGATTCTCCATAGACATTTTCTCAAAAAAATGTTCTTTGGTTAAGCTAAGAAAGCAGCTGCTGGTACATGTCCTGACTTTTAAGCACTGAAACACAACTACACTGGCCAGCAAAACTTGAAAAAGATGGATATTTCTCTAGTAACCTCCTTGCGAACATTTCTATGCATGTATGTAAGTATGTGTATGTAAGACATATCTAGAGGATTCTTCACAAATTGACCAGAGTGGGAAAGAAAGATGCTCAATTCATTCTAGCATTTATGGAGTCATGTTACATCAATGCAACTCTGTGCAGTTAAATACACACACACACACACACACACACACACACACACACACACACACACACGGCTTCATTCTTTCATGTGAACATAAGGCAGTCAGAGTGAAATCCATTGTTTATTCTCCCTTTCTGCTGAATATCCTGCTAAAGAGCATACTCGGCAGTAGACTGTAAACTAGAAATTTAAACTGAACAAGTAATATTGAAGAACCACAAATTAGAAACGGCAGCAAAAATTATTCTCTTATTGCTATAAATGAAGTATAGAAAAAAGAAACATTAAGTCTGTTTTTAAAAAATGGTCTGTGGCTGAGATAAGTTCTAATAGTATTTTTCAATCTATTCAGTCCCTAGCTTTAAATTTCAATTTAGTACACCTAGAAATGTTAACAGATTTGAAATGATGAGCTCTGTAAACGCTAAGATAATACTTACATCATCTCTATATTTTGACTTGTGAATTACCACTGCTTTGGAAGGAACAGCGGTTTCGGGCTTCCGGATGTTGAATTCGGGCTTT